TCTGTGTTTTCTTTTTTATGTAATGGAATGTGCAAGATTGAGGGGGGTCATACTAGTTCTGGTAGCCTTCAGTAATCATTTTGGACTCATTTGGAGTAACCATTTCTGTATAAAGCTAAATAAAAGTCAGCTACAGTCTTCTCTGTGTAATAAAGTTTTCTTACTCTTTTCCTGCCATGAATGTGATTCAGTAGATACAAACTTTTTATCAAATTATCAGATTAGATTACTTGACAGTGTAGAAGATGTATTTGAGTACTATTTTTAATCCAACATCCTTCACCTTTTGGCTTGCACAATGCTCTGTGTTTCTTTAAAAGGGCAGGAAGATAAATTGCTGATGTGATACTGTTCATCTAAAATTATAGACCTAGACCAACATTTTTTAAAGGGACTAATAAATTCTTTGAACTCAATTTGAAGTACTATCAAGGAGACTGATTTTCCAAAAGAGCTCAGTAGCCATCCTCAGTGCTGAACCCCTTTAAAGTGGCTACTTTGGATCACTAGTTACTTTTGAAAATCTAGTTATGTTTAGGTAAAATGGTATCAATACATAAATTTTAGGTAGTCCCCAGGTGAGTTGGAGGCATGGTGTGGGTTTTTCTCAGCAGTTCTCAGTGTTGGTTTGGTGTTCATCACTGAAGTTAATAGTGGTCTGAAGCAGGATTTCACTGGGAACTGAACCAAGTCAACAGTGAATAAACTTGAACTTTAGAGCATATGTGTGAAACAAAACAATTTTTGAGTTACTGTGGGGGAGCAACGCAACTTTCAAGGTATTGAGTTCTTTGAACTACTGTGGTTAGAGAGTGCTGCTAGGTATCTTCTTGCAAGCTGAGAATGCAAAGGATCTCAAAAACAGGTTTTTCCTGTTTAGATTCATGAAAGGCCCAACCATAAAATCATAATATTCATTTTATGTCCTTTAGCGTCACGTGATTGGGAGATAAAATCCTGACGTGTTCCAGCTTTTTCACTGCTTTCATAAATAAACGCACGTAAATCTTGAAATAACTGCAGTACAGCACATTAAGATCCTTTTTGCTTTCTGCTGCTCCCCAATTTTTTGTACACAGAGGCAGAACTCTTCCACAGAAAAGAGAGATCCTCCTCAACAAAATTCTATCCACAAACCTTTTTGTCCCACTAAAAATGAAAAAAAAAAATTGTTCATGTGAATGGTAGTTGATGTTTTTCCAAGTCCTTGCTTTGTGTACTTACTTTCCCATTAAGCAATATGCTAGTGCAAGAGAGTACATGCCAGTTAGGTTAGCAACATGATGTTTTGGTTCTAACTGAGAGCAGAAAGCCCAGAAATCTCATTTATCCCAGCCCCGACCCCCCCTTTGCTAGCCTTCTGGCCTGTAAAATTGCCTAGCCTAATTCTGGAAAGCTGAGAATTTAGGCTTAAACATCCACACCTATTTATCTTTTTTTTTTTTTTTTTTTTTTTTTTTTTCCCCAGGCCATCAATTATTTTAGAAGGCAGTCTGTGTTGGTTTAGACATTGTTTTGTTTAAGAGTAGGAAACACTTTTTGATAGAATATATCCCTGGCATGTCTATGGTTAGGAGACATGCTGGGATGTGTGTGTGTCTGAAATTTTGGACCACGTGCATGGGATTTCTTGGATTAGGAGCATAGAAGTAGAAGCCCTGCAAGAGAAGCACACTTTAATTGAGGTAAAAATATGAACCTAAATTACTGCAGTGACTTTGCTCTGGATTTCACTGGTGTGGCCAGCAGCCATAGGAGAGCAATCCAGCCTTCATTCCCAAAAGGAACATGGCTTATTTTTCTGGGTTGTTTCTAGTGAACTGAAGTAGCAACCTGGAATAATGTTAATTGCACGAGTGTGGTAGAAGACAAGGTAATTTGCATTAAAAATACCAAACGTATTTTGAGAATGTCTGAGGGAAGGGCGTGTGCCAGGATTTGGCATTTTTACTAGCTGCCTAGTTCGTGTATGCTGCTCGTTTCAAGGCTCCGTGGCCTAGGAAGGTATATGGAGGTAGGAATTTAGTTTAGACAGATAAGGTGAAACATCTGAAGTATTCAAGAGACAATTTAACTTGGGGAGTAGTAATGCAGTGTGATAGGGGAACCTTTGCTTTTGTTCCTGCCTCTGCTTTGACTGCAGATTTTCTGGGCGACCTTGGCAAATCGCTTTCCTTCTGACTCAGTTCTGCATCTGAAAAATGGGGATTATGGTACTGAGTCACACCACAAAACACTCAGATTCAAGGATGGAAGACTAAGGCCTGGGATTTAGTGTATTTTTACTGTAGTAAGTCCCACCAAATTCAGTGATTTGTCTCTAGTGTGCTTTTGGTTGAGAGAGATTTAGGCCTTGTCTACATTTGAAAAAAATAACATCTTTTAACTTTTCTTTTAGCTTTAAGTTGTGGTATAGCTAGTACATTTACCAAAAGTGTTTATCCTGAGTTAAAAGTCCTAGTTGACAGAGAAAACAGTGTAGACAGGTCCTTCCTGCTGCCTAACATTTGGTTTCTGTGCCCTTTTTTTGGTAAGCATAGCATGTTTTCTGATACGATTACTTTTTTTTTTTTTTTTTTCTTCCCTTTCCTTTTTTCTGGCTAGGACTGTTCCTAACCGAGACTTAACAGAGCTGGATGTATCATGGGGTGTGCTGTCCGTCCGCTGCTGTTTGGTTCGGGCTGTGACTGTGTGTCACTGGGGTACAGCCCCCTCACCCCTTCCCAATAAAGTCCTTGCTCGGCTGCATCGGTGCAGGGCGTCTAAAAATCCCTTTTCTTTTGCCTGTCTCCAGTTACCCCAGCGCGGGTGATGGTGAAAGCAGGTGCAAAGTGACAGGGCTAAAAATAACAGTCTCAATAACTGTTCCTACACGCAAAGGGGGTATTTCAGCTCCCCTCCCCCTCTGAGATTAGCTTGCCTTGCAAACCCAGGGAGTTCCTCCTAAAAGATCCAGGCTTCCCTGCCTGTCTGTAAACAGGCTCTTTAAAAATAGAGTTATCAATCCACTTCAGTGTAGGACCGGTACAGAGGAGGGCACTGATTTCCTGACTGCTTTGGCAGAGCAAACGTCGCCACGCTGCCGCTGTCGGTGCTTCGCCGCATGGTTTCAGTGCACAGCTAATTGGGAGCAGAAGGGAAAGGCAACAGTAAGAACTCCATTAAGAACCCAATTTCAGTTTCTATCTAGAAAAACAATCTCTTTTAATCTGGTTCCTCTAATTCTCAACTTCCAAATAACAAGCCAATGATCTATTGGCTTTAAAGCTAGATAAAATTAGGAGTGAAAGATCCCTTTAGTGTATCATTTCTAGGGAAGGATGAGGGGCACGCGCTTGAAAATGCAGGTCAGATTTTCTCAGATACTTTGTCTCTTTGGATTTGAGGCTTTTCTTTTTTTTTTTTTTTAGGTTTCCCACAGGATCTAGGCATTGACTCGTTGCATGCAATAACACACAGATGTTATTGATTATAAAACTTTTACAAGTCATAACTAATTTTTTGACATTAAGCATTACTTAAATGGATATGTTCTAAATAAAAAGAAACTAAAATTTTGCTCTTCTAGTTATAGTAAAGAACTGAAGCCAAACAAACTAAACTTGTTTTGGATGTTCTGCTGTTTCCCTTGGTAACAGTCCTTATATGGGACAACAAAATCTGGCTTTTGTTGACTTCCTCATTACCACTTTCTGATTTTTACACACTAGATGAATGCTTCAGTATTAAATTCACAAAGGCTGGAGCATATGATTTACATACAACAATAACAAAACTTTGGCAGGGGATTTTAACCACAGATTTTAATTGGGAAATAATTGAATTGCTTGCTTTTCAAAATTTCTGTGGTTTTGTTTTTCTGTTGTAATGGAAAATTTTGCACTTCTTTACAATGCAGTTACATAGTTTTGCACTACAAAATCTGTATGTAAGGACGAACAGTAACTGAAATCTCCTTTAAGGGGTGTATATTGAACTCTAACCTGGAGAAAATGCAAATCTTAAGCTTCTCTTAGACATGTTGTTATGTAACAAAATAATATTTCAAAAGATGTTCCCTTGGAAGAATGTAAGTAGTCGGTTTTGGTTAGACTTTTGAAGAATTTGCATATACAAGGTAGGTATCTAATTACTGCAAGTGTGGGGGGTGCACAGGTGTGAGGGGGAGCAGACATGCGTCTGCATGCACCAAGTATGTGCAAGATAGCAAAAGATGCTGAATTTAAAAACAAATAGGGGGTTGCTTTTTATCTTTTAGTGTAAGGAAGTTCAGCTTGGGTATACATTTGAACTGAGATTGTATGTTTAGAACAGGGCATGAGCCTTTCTACTTCCCTTGCTTTGACTCGTGTTTTCAGGCTTTCTTCTTGAAATCACAGTCGAGACAGATGTCATGTTGTCAGTTAAAATCTCTGATTTTCACTTTCAATTGGGGATTCTTGGAGTTAGTTTAAAATCTGAAGTGAAATAACGTAGCATCCACAGTAAAGGCACTGTAGCAGTGCTCGCTGTAGCGCCCTGTACATGTCATTGCCAGGTCTGCCGCTGCTGTAGTGGCCAAAGTGTACTGCAGACTTGGACCTTGGGAAAAATGACCAGATGTGGTATTATGTAGGGTAAAATTCCTTTTCCATAGATATGTATTTGAAACCTGATATGGGCTGTCCCGAGAAAATAGACCGTGACTCTTTTAGTTGTTCTTTACATAACTGTGGATGTGTCTGTCCCAGCTGGAGGGTCTGGGACGTTGGGTGCGAGGCTGGACGCTGCTTCCAGTGACATTGTTTCCTACTTAAATAAACTAACAGGGTGGGTTCAGCACAAGGCAAAAAAAAAGTCTTGCCTTCAGAAGTGGTTCTCTACTTGCAGTGTGGGTGGCATGTAGGGTGTTTTACTCACAGCTTACTAAAGCCCCTACGGAGCCCTAAAGCACGTCTCTTCTTTTTTTTCCCCCTGTACCCTAATGCGTGTGTATGAGTTTCTTCTGCCTCTTTGTACAGCTACAGACTCCGCGTGGCCTCTAGATGTCCCTCCTCTTCTTCGCATAACGCCAGCACCCGGCAGTGCAAGAAATCCAACTGCACCTCATCCCACTTCTTCAAGGAATAGACTTCTGCATGTCCAACCAAACCAGGTACAGCAACACAGGATGCGCAGGGCTTGGCTGTCTTGGGTGTCTGTGGGCAAGGAGTGCAGAGCACTTTAAAGATACTATCTGAGCCTTGGAAAACCCACAGTGTCATTGCTCTGCTTGTAACTGGTCACTGATAAGAAAGCAGGCGTGAAGGGGGAGAGCCTATTGGTTAAATCAAGCACAAGGGACAAGGTCATCTCTGATTATGTGTGCGTATATACTCTGGATCAAAACAATCTGTCAGGGCAGGGGCTCCTCTTTAGACTCATGGAAGATGTAAGGAGAGTTTTCTTTTGTTTATGAGCTTTGAAGACCTAAAGTGTTGTTCCTCTGCATCCTGTGGGGAGCTTGAAGATGGTGGTAATTTTTATAAAGATGGGGTTTGTCCCTCTCTTGGAAGGAGTGGTATTTGTATCTGATCATAGTAGTGGGCAAAGTGCTTTGAGATCTTTTGGGCTGAATGGGTGAACACTGAACAAATGTTAACTCTGACCAAAAGAAGTATGCCTGGGAATGTGTATTATGGTTTGCTGCTTTGGCTGAATGCCAGAAGCTCAAAAACTGGTATTACAATGCAAATTGCAGTGCCATGATAATGTACAAAAACATTAGTTGGGGCTCTGGCGAGAGAAACTGGTGTAGTGAAACTACATGAGCATGGCCAAATTAATGACCTGGGCTGGTGTTATTGGTGAAGATGAATTGATTTCCTGTTGGTTGACTTTATACAAGACATTGTCTCCCGTCCCCTGATTTCCCCACCTATAACATGCAGATAATTACCTCCTTTATACTGATGTAATAGCTAAGGAACGTTATACTTACATGTGTAAAGCTAAAGGTGAGAAAGAGTGCCAGGAAAATCAAGATGCTGCAGCCTGAAATTTATTCTTTGTTAAATATGTTAAACAAAAATAATACTTGGTGAAAAATTTAGTAAAATTCTGAAGTTTACTACCTCCTGAATAATGGGAGTGGTTGCTAACAAAGAGTTAACTTCCCTAATTGCAGCATAGACCATTTAGTTGTGGGAAACCCAAGCAAAAGTTAAATTGTGGGCTTCTCTTTACTGTGCAGCACTTGCTGAATGGCTTTTTCTGCTTCCAGCTCAGTGTAATGGGGCAGTCAGACCGACTACTTAATCTTAAAGCTGACTCTGATTAAATGCAACTCTCTGTATTTTCAGGTACTAGGAACTGTTGACTGGAAAAGGTGAGGTGAAGTAATCCTCAAGCATTATCCTCTCCTGCTTTTTCTCAGATGAGATGAGACCGGTTCCTCAGTTGATAGCAGGGACAGCGGTTTCTTCTGCTGGAAGCAATGGTGTGCCTCTGTCATATTGTCCTTCCTTCCAGAGGGAGAGGGAGAGAGCGCAGAGCAGGGCTCCTGCCTTCTCCAGAGAGTGATGAACTGTGGATGCTGGTGAGAGGGTGATCTCAGGGTCCCCTGCCGCACGGAGTCTGTGCATCAACAGCCAGTGGAATAGTGTGGAGAATTGTTCAGACATTTGCAGGCAGATTAACCATGTTCAGAGGGTTGGTGGGTCTGGATGAGTCTCCTCTTTCTGGTAGAACACAGAGGGGTTTAACATACTATGCAATTAAATTCTGAAAAGACTGTTACATCATTTTAGTTTCTACTTTACATCCTAACGGGTAAAGAACTGGGAATCCCACAAAAATCCACTGAAGGGAGTGGTAGGTTTTGCTGAGGTTTCCACATCTGAAGACTGTGGGTACCCCAGTCTCTTGACTTTGTACCATTAGCTTTAACGGGTGTGACGCCATTGCTTTCGCAGTGCGTCAGGACCCACGTTTGTTTGGAAGACCACCTGTTAAATGATCTCTGTGAAATGCACTGATAGCCCAGTTTCATAAAGGGACAAGCATCCATTTCTCAAAAGCTGCCATTACATTTGTTGCCAGCCTGGTAGTCGTGTTGTAGTCAGGAGTTATTTATTCAGTGAGAGTATCAAATACGCATATTGCTGTGCAGTACCAAGCAACACTTTTCCTTAAATACGGAGCTTGTGTTTGCGACCCTCAGTACAAGCATGCTTAGTTTCAGTGGTCCTGTAGAGAGGGCATCCACAAAGGTAGCTGGCAGCCAGCAAAGACAAGTTGCAGAAACATACAGGTCAGTTGGTAAAATGCAGTGCAGAAAGGTCTCTTACCTCTTGCATCAAAACGGTGACAATCACACACGGGTGCATCATCTGGCAGGGGCACTTCTCCAGGCCCTGCAGATTTTACCTCCGAGATGAAGGGTTCCTTCTGTCGAGACAAGCTTTTGCAGGATCCCTGCTAATGTAGCATCCGGGTTTGGAATTTTTCGAGGAGGCTCAGGGGGTTGATCGCCCTATTTCCCCCTTATTTCAGTCAATTTATTGTCTTTGCACTCCACACAGATAAGCACACATCTGTGTATGCACACGTTAGTTAAGAAAAATCAAGTGCCCGGTTGATACTCCTTACCACCACCCTGAAAAAGTCAAAAAAAGGATCGATTTTATATATATCTTCATATATATATATGACATATTTATTAATATATATGTATGAAATAGCTGAAAACTTACTTTTTTTTATAGTTTTAATGAAAATCAAATTGTTCAAAATGAATACAAAAGCTTTAAACAAGAACCATTGATTTTGTTCATCATAAAAATGTGTTAGCTACATGTTGTTTGAGTTGGAAAGAAAAGGTCTTCAGGACCTTGTATTATCTAGCTACAGATTTTTTGGATAAACCCCTGTTGGAGGCTGTCTAAGTGCAATTGTGGTTTGGGGGAAGGCTGAGATGCTGGGAACTAGATGAGCCATAAGAAGATACATCCCCTCCCATGTTGGAAGTGATGCTTCCAGTCCGAGACTGTGAGACCACTGAGATGCAGGCTCTGTGGGGAGAGCTTGTGCCATTGCTGGCTCCTCTGCCTCTTTCCTAGAGAGGAGAGTCTCCAGGATTTGTCCCCTCTTGAGCTTTTTGCTAGCAATAATTTCTTCTTGAAATATGTGATGTACTAATTCCAAACAAAGGATGAAATTTTTCATAGCAGCGTTGGAAGACTGAAATTCTCATTATTCACTAAAACTGGTCGGAAGTGAGTATCCATATCTGCTAGGCAGCTTGGTAAATCTTGGTCAAATAGCACAGAAATTAAGTTTCCTGGCCTTATGTATATCTTAAAGAAGCTGGCGTGCATGCAGCTCTGTAATCAGTTTGGCTCACTTTAGTTTTGTGCATTATCTGTCTTTTTATTTTCTCTCCACATTTGCTCCTTCCTCTCATCATCTAGTATTAGTATGGTAAACCCTTTTCTTTCAAACAGGAATTATCTTCCTGTGTGTCTGGACAGCATCTAGATCATTTGAAAAATGAATAGACAGTATTCATAAAACCCGGGTCCAATATACTCTGTCTTAAAGCACCAGTATGATATGCCCTCGATTTTCCCAGTGCAGCTTTGTTCGGCGGTTTGTCGACGATCACGCTTACTGTATAAATTTTTCCTGGTCACTTGAGGATTGTTGCTGAGGAAGAGCTTTCTTGCTGTGCAGCCCAAATCCTGCTTTAAACAATCAGTTCTTCTGAGACCCGCTCAGCTTCCAGCAGCAGTAAGTCAAATTAAGTAGAGTTTCTGGCACGGATGCTGCTGAATTTAGTGCCTTTAAGGCATACCAATGAGGTTATTAGAGGTCACTTTTGTGCAATTTATTTTTGCTGCTTTTTTAAGAGTGGTATTAACTATAATAATGGGCAAACTCAAGGAGAGAAATGTGTAAATTGTTGTGATATATGAACATTTTTCCCAGTGAAATTCTGGTTTATCACACAAGCCTGTAAATATGTATTTACAATTTTAAAAGCACGTCTTTATGTCCCTGGTTGTAAATGCTCCGTTTTTAAAGTTTTATAACATGTGTTACTCAACCAAGAGACCACAGCACACAGCTTTATATTGTACTGGTCTATTTGAAGGATCCATTATGGTCTAAGCTGTGGCGGAAAAATATCCACGCCACTGACAAGAAATAACCCGTGGTTGCAGCAGACTTTTCATCATTTTCCCTCAGATAACAAATGCAGGTCTTTTGGGAGGGTGGGGGAGTTGATTTTTCTTGCAGAAAAAAAAAAAAAGCAGTTCAAAATGGTGTAATTTCTCTAGAACGATGAGGATATTTTATTCACAGTAAATTCAGGAAAGTATGCCATTTTTGTTTTATTCAAGGCAGAATTTCACAGTTTTGCAGCAAATTTTTAACCTCCCCCGTGCCTGCTGATGAAACGTGAAATTTTGCCCTTGACTAATATCACAAGTTCTTGTGAAAATTTGAGGAGAGGGTGGGGAAAAAGCTCAGGTTTTGCATGTAGGAATTTGCAAGGCTGACACCGGTAGCTCTGCAGTGCTCTCATGACAGTGCTGATACTGAGAAGTTTATTAAAAATAAACTGTGTGGAGATGTGGTATTACCTGGTTGATGCTTGGGTTCTGAACATTGCTCTGGAAGACTGAAAGCTCTGTTGTCTGTCCGCCATGTAAAGAAAAAGAACAACAATAAATTAATGTGACAAACCACATAATGGAAATACTTATTATTATTTCAGCAGATGAAGTCTGCAAATTGGAGATCCAATGTATTCCAGCTCTGAAACAGCAGAATGGTTTGGGCTCTTTCTCGTGGGTGACAGGAGAGGAGGGAGGAGATCACAGAATCACAGACTGGTTTGGGTTGGAAGGGACCTTAAAGCCCACCCAGCCCTCCCCTGCCCCGGGCAGGGCCCCCTTCCCCCAGCCCAGGGGGCTCCCAGCCCCGTCCAACCTGGCCTTGAACCCTTCCAGGGAGGGGGCAGCCACAGCTGCTCTGGGCACCCTGGGCCAGCGCCTCACCCCCCACATAAGGGAAGAATTTCTGCCTTAGATCTCATCTAAATCTGCCCTCTCTCAGTTTAAACCTGTCACCCCTCATCCTATCCCCCAGCCCCCCCCCCCCCCCCCCCCCCCGATCCAGAGTCCCTCCCCACCTTTCCTGTCCCCCCTTTAAGCCCTGGGAGGCCACTCGAAGGTCTCCCCGGAGCCTTCTCTTCTCCAGGCTGAACCCCCCCAACTCTCTCAGCCCGGCCTCCCAGGGGAGCTGCTCCAGCCCCCCCAGCATCTCCGTGGCCTCCTCTGGCCCCGCTCGAGCAGCTCCGTGTCCTTCTGCTGTTGGGGACCCCCGAGCTGGCCCCAGCACTGCAGGGGGGTCTCCCCAGAGCGGAGCAGAGGGGGAGAATCCCCTCCCTGGCCCTGCTGCCCCCCCTGCTCTGGCTGCAGCCCAGGGCACGGGTGGCATGCGATAGAAATGTCACCTCAGACTATCAATCTCCACTCATGTGAACAGTAATTACTGCAGACCAAGATCTCCTGACGGCTTCAGACTCTGAGTCTACAAGCCTGGATAAGCAGCACACAAGCTCTTTGTAGTTTGGACTCTCCATTCAAAGCCAAACCTCTTGTTGAAGCCTTGCAGCACTGTGGAAGCAACACAACGTGACGAACTTCGTTTGCTATCCTCTATTAGAAGGTGAAAGTTTAATCAGGGCTTGAAGTGGGAGGGTTTTTTGCTTCCTAGGAATGGTCCCTGTTTCATTTTTTTCTGTCACAGGATATGTTCCATCACAACACCTTGAGGAGGAATTTTTTACCTTGTCCACGGCCATAGGACTTGGCAATTCTGTAAGGGAATTGCTGAGGGTTGGTGGACAGCCATTTATCACTGGTGCATTAATTCAGCCACATTCTTTAAAAACAATAGCAGATACAACAAACAGGTTTGGGAACAGATGAAATATAGGTAATTAATATTAATTTCACATAGGCTAAAAATGGCTCTTTTGCCCCAGAAAATCTGAAGATTCCTTATGCGTTATAAATCTGACCTGTTAGTAAAAAATCACCGTTGTCACCATTGCATGTCATTGCTTTGCCTGCAACAGCCTGTCAGTCAACCTCCTCTTGCAGTGTTCCAGTCTACCTGATTTTTGTTAAATAGCATTCAGTTTCAGTTAAGTTTTGAATGGTCAGATTTTGCTGAACTGTCATTCTCTCCCTGCATGAGAACATCCTGAAATATTCTCTAACTAGATAGCTACACACTTTCATTTATCTGTCTGAGATGTCACGTGAAGCAGCACTAATTACTCATTTTTATAAGAGCTGTGGCTTTTTTGGGGAGAAGACTACCTTCAGAAACAGGTAAGGAGAAAAACTTTCTCATAATGAAGCTCCTGCCTTGCTGTTGTTTACTGTATCTTTATGTATGTCGTGCTGCTTGCAGCTTCCAGGAGGCAGAAGGATGCAGACAACGTGACACACAGGTGGCAGAATCCCTTCACAAAATCTCAGGAAAACCAGTTAGGCTGCTTCAGTCTGTGATGCCAGTGCCAATTGTAAATAGTCTTTCAAAGCCATAGGACATACAGAATATTGTGTGCTCAAGGAAAAAAACCCTCAGTGAACATGGAGGACACAGGTACTTCACCCCTGACATCCCCAACAGCTTGTCAGCTTGGATGTGAGGTGGGTCAGCTGTGGAAGAACAGTAGAAATAGAAACGTACATCAAGCACCGCAGAGTAACCTTTTCTGGGATTCTGAGCGAAGGCGCCTTTCACCCCGGGGTCTGCTGCCAAGGTCGTTGCTCAGGAATCGTTGCGGGTGCTGACCAGCAGCCTGGGTGAAACGAACAGCGGATGCTCCTGGCCCAGTCCCACAAGGGCACCAGGGGACATACAGAAATAGCACCGTGCCTTTTGATGCAAGAGACATTTCTCTCTGTTTAGGGATGAGCTAGCCTGGGAACTTGACAGAGAAGCACGTTCTGGCCTACTGATCGTGAACAATCATCATTTATTTTCCAGTGAAGAAAAGGAGGGGGACAGACAGGTGCTTGGGGGTAGGAGAGAATTTCAAGCTGTGCTGCATTTGTTTTATGACTTGCTTTGCAGCTGCCTTGGAAGAAGAAGAGGCAGTTGTTAAAGATTAGACCACACTGGAAATATTATCTTAGATACGAGATACTCATGCAAATACTGCCCCCCCCCCCCCCCCCCCTCCTTTTACTGCTCTGCTAAGTTTTGGGTCACCTTGACTTTAGCAGGGCTTGGCAGAGGTGCTTTTCCTTTCATTATTTTTTTTCCCCTTGCTTTGCCAGTGTTAGTGGCTGTGCAAAGAACTAGGCAAGAGGGTGTTATCTCCAGGCTCATCTCACCCCTCCAGCTGAAGCTTTGTGGAATAGACTGTTTGGGGACCAGCATTACCTCAGAAAATATATACTATAAAACATATTCCTCATTATTATACTGACATCATGTAATCTACACAATGTATTTACTCTCATACATTGGATCCTCCTACAGCCAGAGTGCTTAACTGCCAGACTCCCTTCTGAACTTCACTCTTTGGTTTCTCTATCAAGTGCAGTGATTAATGCTTACCTAGGGTGTATCAATGTAGGAATGCAGCTGAATTTAACCTCGACAAATGAAATATCCAGATTATTTCCTTTAGTACTATGTTCTAGTAGATAATGTCTGTATCTGAGTTCAGATTCTCTTGGTGCCTAGCACTGACTGATTAGAGTCCTTTCATAGTTGGTATTTCCTTTGTACAAGGATATTTATACATTAGTTAAACCATACTTACTTTTGAGAAATTACCTGAAGAATCCTCTATGTCTTTTAGAGCAGGACTTTTTCTCTCTGCATGACTTACACATTTTTATTCTGTGGCATTCAAACTTTTATTTTTTGGAAATAATAAAACCCAACCAAACAAAATTCTCTTTCAGCCAAGAATTGATGGAGATGTAATCTGAAGGAAGAGAGATATATGTTTAATTGCTGTCTCTGATGACAAACCTTAAGTACATTGCTTCAAATTCATTGTGAGTTCTACAAAATACTCAATTTTCCTTGCATGACACAGGCATCAGATTTGGATAAATGTTCCAGAACTGATCTCAGTAGTGTTATCTGTGGAGGAATAATTGCATCCATACTTCCCCATGCATCCAGCCAATGATTTTGCCATCCCTCCCTGTGACAGTGCTGTGCTGGAAGCAAATGCAAAAATCCTTATCTGTTTGGTGGTTGTTTTGTTTTGTTTTGTTTTGTTTTGTTTTGTTTTGTTTTGTTTTGTTTTGTTTTGTTTTTGGAGTCTCTGCCTTCAAACAGTGAAACACTGACTTCTGACACACAAGAAACGAGTTCTCACTTGTTACCATTCATTGCTGATGACATTAACAATAATATCTGAATTTTTCTATGTTCTTTCCTGAGTCTTCCTCCATTCCAGAATCCTTTGCTAGTAAGAACATTGTTGTGAATAACCCCCATTTCTTGCACAGGGTATTTCTAGATATGTTAATTATCACTGTAATGAAACACCTATTCTGTTGATGTAATGAGTTTAACCAAGTTTCTTTCCCTTTCATACATATTCATGTGGCACGTTGTTGTCTGTTCAGAGAGATAATTAGATGTGGAAGGGAAGCAGATATCCATTTAGCTGGCATTTACCAAGGCTCTTCTGTTCCTGATGTGAACTGCTTCTATGCTGCTGGGGACCGGGTGCTGGAGGTGCACAGGGCCACCCTTTTTGCATTTCAGGACTTCTGAACTCCCTGTCAGATCGACTGATCATCAGTGTGGAGAAAAGGGGTTGCTACATCCTCATAAAATGACATGGAGAGACCTATCAGCAAAGATGTTTGTCGTTCCAGACCGAGTGTTAGTAAAGGTGTGTTAGATGGGCTTTTCCTTGCTCGTGGTGGTTTGATGGTAACTCAGCTGCGGTGTTATTAAGCTGTTTGTGTTACTGCATCAGAGGAAGTTTCCTGATGAACAAATGTGTTTGGCTCCATCAGTGAACTGTACTGCTAAGCAGAGATGATGTGACTGTATTGTCTGGTCGGGAAGCTGACATCAACCTGGGCTCTTTAAAGAAGGGATGCCATGCAGCGACCTGGTAGATCTGAGCTGAAGGGATCAGACCACTTCGTGTCTCCTGCAGTGGTATTTGCTTGATTTTTTCCTTTGAAAAGGAAGCACATGCCCAGCTGAGATCATATCTCTCTTCTTGGCAGTCAAAAGTCACACAAGACCAAATCTGCCTCTTAGCTGGCTAAGGCTTTATCTGTGACAAAGCTCACAGGAAGCAAACTCAGATAAAGAGAGCGAATTTTCATTTTTAAGATGGCTGTCAGAAACACGGGCTTTCAGAGCCAGTGATCATCCAAAAGCCTTAATGACTGCACAGAACTCCCATGGAGAAAGTGAAGGTCCATCAGAGCAAAAACTGCTCGTGAGAGCTCAGTCTGAGGTGGTCACAGTCACTGGGCATCCTTCATGTTCCCTTTTGGGGGCCAGAGCAGAATAAGCTCCCGCTTACTAATGGGGAGGGATTGACGTCCCTCCCTTCCACCTCCCTCCCACACTGCCAGGGCAGCATGTGCACAGGTCTCATTCACTGTGTGCCAGCACAGCACCTCTTTTAAGTTGAGCTCTAGTGTCTTAACAAGGTCCACATTATTCCTAACCCTAATATTTTCCCTTTTCATGTAAAAAGATAAACTTTGAGTCTGGTTATTTGTCTGTTTTATTAGTAGTTATTTTCTATGTGGGGTCAATTGCTGTAGCTGATGGAGTTAGCAGTGACACCTGCAGAATGGAGGGGACCTTAAGGAACCTTGTACATGTTAGATAAACTTTAGATTGTTGTGGTAAGCCCAGAACTCAGAGGAGGAAATCTGGCATTGGATCCTGCATGGGACTGGGCACAGCAAGGCCGTTGTCAGTTGCGTGAGTAAAATTCAGCGAAGCTACAGTGAAGTGGAAAATGTCACAGGAGAATTTCTGTACTTCATAGAGGGTCATTTCTTAGGAGGAAAATGTACTGAGCAAAGCTGGAGCATCCCTTGGCCTGCTGTTCAGAGTGAAGGTGTGCTCCTGCACTGCTGCTCTGCTCCCCGTGCCTCGCTGGGTGAGATGGTAATCGATGCTGAGCAGGTACACAGCTCCCAAACCAGCCCAAGCAGGAAGGCTTGTTTTCTTACTTTCTGGTTTTTAGGGACATGTACTGACTTGATCTAACGGCTGCAAGCTGTGAACAATGGTGTTAAATGAAGCGTGGACGCTCCGCGTGTTGTGTAACCACTGCGGCGCGCTGTGCTGTGCAGTGTCCCATATAGACCCACCAAACCCTGCAGAGAGCAGGCAGTGGGGGCGAGCCCGCTGGCTCCCCAGCACTGTCACTACAAGAAATCAAATAGCAAACAGGCTTTAACACTTCCCCACTTTCCCTGTTCCCGCTCTAGAAAGCTTCTATACCCAGGGTACCCACCCTACCAGTGACAGAGTCCTTTGCACCTGCAGAATACAGATTTTCTAAGACTTTTAGGTGGGGTTTTTTGCTTTTCAAGACCCTTCAGTGCACGCTACTAGTACATAATTGAATTGGAGAGAAGGAAAAATATATCTGTGGATTGCTCTGCAACACTAAAACCCCTGAAATCTTGAACAGCTCAAAAAGTTTTGTTAAGGAAATAGGGGAAAGGGACTTTCAGGTAACCTCTTGCATATTTTTCTTTTTTATTTTTTAATTATGCTTTAATATTTCAGAGCTAGGTGCAGCTATGTTGTGGATTTTGTAGAGAAGTTGCCAAACAGCTCTGGGAGGGTTTCCTGGTACATGGTCAGGAGTACATGTAGCACAAGGTGATGCTGGTGGTAGAACTGACTCTAGTCCCATTGCTCTTCAATTACCCCTTCCCACCCAACTAAATGCTGCTCTTTTTATATCAGCTTTTTCTGACATTTTGCAATTTTAGAATGTGCTCTTGTAGGCTGCAAATATGAGCAGGCTTTGCCCAAATAACAATTTGCTCTGGGCAACTGGGCATGGTTCAGAGAGAGCAAACAGACAACAGAGTCAGGAAGGAAGAAAACAGCAACAGGAATAAATACCTTCATGCTGAAGACATGTAGATCAAATGGCCCGGTTTTTGCTTTCCTCCATGTAACAGACAAGAAGGTCAAGTTAAATCTTTGTCTTCTTGTGAGGACAGAAATTGTTCCTGTGTCTCTAGCAAAACAAACATGCAAAGTTTTATTTATTTGGACTGTGCTCTGCCATAGCTGATCTGAGCCTAAAACCACTTAAATCATAGAATAGTTTGGGCTGGAAGGGACCTTTAAAGCCCACCCAGTCCCACCCCTGCCCCGGGCAGGGCCCCCCTCCCCCAGCCCAGGGTGCTCCCAGCCCCGTCCAACCTGGCCTTGAACCCTTCCAGGGAGGGGGCAGCCACAGCTGCTCTGGGCACCCTGGGCCAGCGCCTCACCACCCGCACAGGGAAGAATTTCTGCCTTAGATCTCATCTAAATCTGCCCTCTTTCAGTTTAAAACCCTTACTCCTTGTCCTACCCCCACCCCCTGATCCAGAGTCCCTCCCCACCTTTCCTGCCCCCACTTTAAGCCCTGGGAGGCCGCTCGAAGGGCTCCCCGGAGCCTTCTCTTCTCCAGGCTGAACCCCCCAACTCTCTCAGCCCGGCCCCCCAGGGGAGCTGCTCCAGCCCCCCCAGCATCTCCGTGGCCTCCTCTGGCCCCACTCGAGCAGCTCTGTGTCCTTCTGCTGTTGGGGACCCCCGAGCTGGCCCCAGCACTGCAGGGGGGTCTCCCCAGAGCGGAGCAGAGGGGGAGAATCCCCTCCCTGGCCCTGCTGCCCCCCCTGCTCTGGCTGCAGCCCAGGGCACGGGTGGGTTCTGGGCTGCCAGCGCACGGGGCTGGCTCACGGGCAGTTTTCCATCCACTAATACTCCCAAGTCCTTCTCCTTGGGGCTGCTCTCCAGCCACCCCTCGCCCAGCCTGGGTTTGTGCTGGAATTGCCCCGACCCCTGGGCAGGACCTTGCCCTTGGCCTTGTTGAACTGCATGAGGTTTGCCCGGGCCCCTCTCCAGCCTGCCAGGTCCCTCGGGATGGCATCCCTGCCCTCAGCGTGTCCCCACCACACAGCTCGGGGTTGTCAGTGAACTTGGTGAGTGTTCACTCAATCCCAACTCTCCCTGTCACTGATGAAGATATTCATTACAGGAATCATTATGGGAAGGAACAGTCTCATGAAGGCGATAGCTTTCACAGTACAGGACCAGTTTAGCAGCTGTTAAAAGTGCTAAATCTACCAGTTTCTTTAACTAGCCGGGAGAGGGAGTAGGTACGATAAAGTGATAAAGCTGGGATTTTCTGGGCAACACTGGTTCCTGGCTGAGTGTCCACCCTGTGCAGCGATATTGCTGGACAGGCTGTGCTGCCTGCAGCACAGCCCAGGAGACATGACTTCAATTCCTTGCTGCCAAAATTTCTCCAGGTGTGCCTGGGCAAGTCATTTTGCCTCTCTCTGCCTCAGCTGGCTGCAGAAAGGGGCTAATAACACCCACCTGGGTTTTGAGCTATCTGCAGGTGACCCTCGTGCTCTACCCTGGGCTTTCTGTTGCTATAATTGGGCAGTTTTGTTCTTCCACGTAGGTCACGGTGTGTGTTTTCCCAGCTGCGTGACAACCTTGCTCCGAAAGCACTGATGACTCACGGAGGACCAAATTACCCAGAGCGCCTGGAGTCAGCACCCTTTGCATTGGCAGGGGGAGTTTTTAAAATGAAGGTGAATCAGCTGTGACAGACTTTCCTGGGAGTTAACTCTTGGCCCCCCCCTTCCACGCAAACGCCCCGGGGCTGGTGTTTACCCGGGGGGAGCTGCAGCGGTGGGGGGGAAGCAAAGCGCTGGGCATCGCGGCGGCAGGTTTGGGCCTCGTCCCTCCCCCCCCGCCGCCTTTCCCCCCTTTCCCTTGAGCATCCCAGGCGGGAGGGGGTTAAGGCGGGCGGCTCTGCTGCCCGGCTGAGTTAGCACTTCCATGTGCCTCCAGAGGAGCTGCCGGGAGCAGCCGCTGCATCAGGGCAGGGGCAGAGGGAGGGCCACTGCAGCAGGGCAGAGGAAATGTTATTTAACGGCGGCTCCAATCTCCTCCCCCTCGCCTGTTTTGCTGGGGGAAGGGGAGAGAGGGCTGTCAGGAAGGAATAAACCACGGGAGGTGGTGGTGGGGGGGGGGCGCTGATGCCGAGCTGGCAGAGCCCCCGGGAGGGGAGGCTGCAGGCTGCTGCCGCGGTTTGCCCGGGGAGGGACCCGCGCAGCCCCCGGCACCAAGGGAGGCAGGGTCGGGGGTCCCCCGCCCCCGGGCAGCGGCCGGAACCCGCCGCTGAGCTCCAGGCGTGAAGCTCGGGAGCCCGGCGGGAGGCGGGGACCCGCTCCGGCAGCGGCGGGGGGGGGCGGCTCGGCACCCCGGCCGTGCCCCGCTTCCCCGGGAGGAGATGTGCCCGAGCCCATGGGCGAGGCGCCTGCTGGGTTTAGGCATCTCGGCTCCACGGGAAGAAGAGAGACTCGTATCTCTGCTGTGATTATGGCAGACACCCCAGAAGGGGTCAGTCCTCCTTGCCTAACGCTAATTTGTGGCTGAGGCCCCCAGCCCTGCCTAGGACGCACCACACAACTCTTGGAAGAGGCAGAGGCGGGTCTCGGTGAAAATACTGATGGCACCCAACTGAAAAATATGCGTGTTGCTACTCTCCCTTGAAAAGAGGGAAAGGAGCATCCTCTGGGCTCGGGGAGAGGCACCGCTGCTCAGCGGGGGTTTCCTCCTGCCTGCTGAGCGGCCGGGGGGGACAGGAGGCTTCTCACAGCTGCTGGGTTCTGCCCCATGACTAACGCAAAGGACCCGAAGAGAGCTATGGACTCCTCTCCGGTGACCTCCAGCTCTGCGACGGGCCCCGTTACCTTCTCGCAAGTTTTCGGGCAGCAGTGCCAGCTGATGGAAGCAGGTAAGAGGGGAAGGTGTGCATGTACAGCCTCAACATCCTACCTCTCACCTCCTGGCCTCCAACGCCCTTATTATCTTCCCTCCCCCATTTCCCAAGCTCTTCCCCAAACCTGCTGTTTTCCAAGGGGAAAGTTGTAGTGACCTGTGTTGCGTTTACCCACCTGCCTCAACTTCTCCCAAAACCACTTAAAACCTTTGTGTCCAAATAGTTACAAATCTGAAGCAAGGATTGGGATGATTGTGCATTTTGGGTTATTGTGGACTGGAACAAGCTGCTCTTCGCCCGATAGTGGAAGTTACCATTGTGTTTAGATGTGTACACAACATGTATGATAACTTTTCCAATTTCAAAACAATGACATTCAAACTGGAGGTTGATTTCTTGTTTTGGAGAGTGACTGTTGCAGTACAGAGCATCTCCAGGTGTGCAGATCTCTGCTTTGGTATTCACTTCTATGAAGGACAAAGTGTTTGCTTTCTTTCCTTTGCTTTTTCTTGGCTGTTTGTGTTACTGTAGCATCTGGAAGCTCTGTTGCTCTTCCCAGCTGTTTTCATACATTTGTAATGTCCCTACAGAGGGGCCTCATTATTTGTTGTCTGCACCTTTTGGATATTTAGGAGGGAGTGTGTAACATGACTAATCCCAAATTTGCTGTTTTTGCCTCTTGCTTGTCTCACTTGCTCTGCACAGGTGCTCTGAAGCACTGGACCATTAAGTGCCCCAGAGCTGTGCACTAGCGTCCTCCTTCATCCCTGAGTTCCCAAGACTAAAGGATCAGCATAATGAATTTTACAAGACTTATTCTCTTTTCCTTATCCCTGCTTACAGGTAGCTCTGAGAATGGATGTATTTGTTTTACTTATGGCTGTGGAGAAAGCCTGTTTTTTTTGCAATGATACCATAACAATGCTTGCTCTGAATTTCTAGGGCTCTTTTTACTTGGACCTTCTGGTACCTTCTTATATTACTGTTTGTGATGGTGCATATATCACAGCAAATATGCTTTCCAAATTGTCTCCTCCCCTCTCTCTCTCTCCTCTTTTCTCTTTCTTCTCCCCAGCCAATTCTGTAACTAATGGTGTTTGGATTTTAGTGTTTCTGTTTATGTGGTGAGATCCAAAATATTATGCATCAAGGTTTCACTGCAGATCTCTGACTTCTGTTGTGCCTCTCATAGTGCTTTCACAAGGTGAGCTAGGAGAAGGACTCACTAATGACTCGTGCTTAGTTAATCAATCCTGTGATCATGCTGCTGCCTCCAAGGTAACGTTAGGCAGTTCTTCAGGAGGGTTTGGTACTAATCTTTCATGTTATATGGCTTGGGATCAGTCCAAGGGCTGTGGATGCATTATGTCAGATGTTATACAAAGAGAAAGCCCCAGTCCTGGGTGAGCATTTTGTTTTCCAAATGAGTAAGATTGAGCAGGTGAGAAAACACAGGTGGTAATTTCAGTTTTGTTTGCTTTTCCTTTCCCTTTCTTACAGGGAAATACCAGAGAGGAAGCCTAAGAACCTAGGGCTTTTGAATCACATCTTAGTAACTCAACCATAAGATTTTCTTCCCTCTGATGGACCATTTTGGTAGGATTTTCTAGATGTCTTCTCAGGTACAAGGTGCAGTGCAATGTAAGGATGGCTGCCATGAATGTCACTGACATTCAAAGCAAATGAGTAGATTATGTGTGTGCGTGACTTTACATCTATGTGAGCTTTCTATTCTTCTAGCAATAACAATATATACTCAGCATACCTGAGAGCAGAACTTCAGTTGATGTGTTTGTGGGTATGTCGGTGTTCATAGGGCCTTGCAAAACTTGGCTGCCGAAGCTGTCACCCGGGTTTTTAACGTGGGCAGGGAGGATACCCTGAGCAAACTGGATACGGGGTTGGGACACCAAGCTCCGGTTACTCCGTTGTGCCCTGTGCCAGTGAACAAGTGACATTTGGGATAGAGCCATAAAAGGGATCGACATTGTGTAGGGCTGTGCAAGTGTTTTTACAAACCATAAAACCAGATCTTGCTCCTGTGATTCTTTTGCAACAACAATTCCCGAGGAGCTAGGTGGAGTCAAGTTCTGAGCTGTACAGCCCAAATCTCATGAGCAAGACTTCTAGACACCCAGTACCACATCACTGTCATTGGTGACATTTGGGCTTTTTCAATAACAGTGTCATGTGCTCGAATGATGGAAGTACTGGCCTTAATTAAATGTCAGACTATGTGCCTGGAGAAAAGCTGAACTCTAAATAAATCACAGATTTGACAACACAACTTTCATGTACCACCTGGAAAGAGCTCATGTTCTCTACAGCTTCTGCCTTTGCTAGAAGGACTCTTTTCCTCCAAAGCACCTGCAAGAAAAGATGAGGTCTGCTTGCAGAATCCTATGTAGGTTTTTGTATAGCAGCATCTGTCCTCAGGGGAGAGAGCGGAGGGTGCATGGCACCCCATTGCAAATGTGTGTCCCATCCCACCTAACGCTGCTCTTCAGTAACCCCCTCTGAAAAATAAATACTAAGTATTTTGAAAGTTAACTTTTCTCCTGCCAGCTGCACATCTTCCCCTTTGATGGAGGACTTCTGAAGTTTTTTGTGCAGCTGATTCTGCATAATTGGCTGATTATTCATGCATAGTTTTTGTAGATTTGCATAATACCCTAGAATGTACTCTGGTAATGACAATATTAGTCCAAATGTTGTCATATGGGAGCCCTGCTCCAAAACCTTTTTGCCCTTCACACAAGTACTTGATCTTTATTTAACCTCTGAAGCACTGTTTACTTGTACATTACATAGGATGCTCTTTTGAAAATTATTTTTCTATCTTCCTGTTCTACCCTACTGTACTGTTGCTGCTACCTAACCAAGATTACAATGCCTCAATAAATTTGTTTGCTGGGATGTGGTCCTTGCCGTTACCTGGGATTTTTTTATTTGCATTGAGCACAGGGAATAGTGCAGATTGGAAGACTGCAGCTGGCTTAACACCCTCATTTGGGAGTTCACTGACAAAACTCCAGTTTCCCAAGGCAGTAGATCCTTGTTATTGCAGACATTAAATATGCCTGGTGCCCAAATGATCTGTCAGTGTCACCTGGGGGCACGGCCACTTTTCAGGAGTGTGTAATCTCAAAAGGGAGACTGTAATTCCCATCTAGGATTGCTCAGAAAATAAGGTTTTCATTTCATGGGCAAGCCATGCAGATTGGTTGTTTTTTCACCTGGCCCAGTTTAACTGCAAGGGTGGTGATTTCCAAAAGGAGTAACTGAGAAAGGGGCTGTCTTCAAAACCCAGTCGTAAATCTTCCTGATCTCAACCAAAAGTCCTGTCTACCAGGCAATGCTGGAGGATCTTTTTTGTTGATAGCATGATTTTGAATCCGGCACAGATTAATGCTATAAATTTTGCTAATACCAAAATGAAAAGCTATAGGGTTTTTTCCATTTGACAGTTTCTGAATTAAAAAATAAAATAAAATTGTCTGAAAGATTTATGATTGGCACTACCGACCTTAAAAATGAATGAGACAGAATTTGAAGGGTATTTCCCCTTGGCCTCCCCATGAAGTATTGAATATATGGAATGAGACCTGATCTCAAGGAGAGTTGAGGGCGCTCTTGAAGAATTAAGCTTAGCAGAGAAACCATTTTATATGTGGGCAAATTCCAAGCAACTTGTTTGGCACAATGCAGTTTTCTGGACTTACTACCATGTATTATTCTCTGACTCACTGCTCCATTAGATTAATTGTAATTTTCCATTAATTCCTTGGCTCACAGATGCTGCTGATTTGTTGGGCTCCCAATTTTTTTATATCTTGTCAGCTCATTTTCCATTGGTTATGAAATAAGGAACTTCGTGCGAGATGTGACCAGAATGAATAAGAAAGATTAAGTAATTTGAAAATCATCCGGACTTTAAGATGTTGTACTGAAACTTCTGCATACTGGCTTTCAATTACATACATGTGTTTAATCAGGATGTGTATTTTGTATCCCACCCTGATGGTTGCTTCACAAACGGATGTGAGTTTGGTTTGGCTACCAAGTAGAAAATTAAGGACACGATACAAAGTTCTTAGGAGTTCTTTTATGGAATTTAATGTAATGTGGATTTCTCCTTCCCGAAAGCTGAGGTTAGCAGTGTCCATCAGGCACTTAAGTTTGCTCTGTCCCTCTATTATTTTCTGCCACATATGTATGTGAAAGATGATTTAATGGGTTCACGTCAAAGCTGCGATCCTTTTTGGTCCTGGGTTTCCTCAAGTGCACCACTTCAGTGAGCTCAGGCTCCAGATATGAGACCATCTGAGCAAACCTCTTGCAGCAGCTCGTCTTTCCTCCCATGGACAACAAGAGAAAACAGTCAGCATAAAATTTGCTTGGGTTGGTTGGTTTGTGACCACATGGAATCGGGGCTGGAAACGTGTTCCTTGGTACTTAGGGCATTAGGTTTCCTAGGTGCATTAGTCAGTAATAAATTTTTCATGGTAACAAGTTGTTTGATTTGCTCTCCCAAGAGAAGATGATGTGTAGCAAATAGACTGTGTTTCTAAAGATGATCGCAACAGTCTTGTTTAATTAGTGTGCTGCAGGTTAGGTCTGTGCATGAGCAGATTTCCCAATTTTGGGGAAACAAGAAGCAGGAGCATTTATCACATGAGTGGGGTGAGATGAATTCAGTGATCTCTGAGTCTGATCTTCCTGGGTGACAGATGTGTGATGCTCAGTGCGGGTACCAGAAGCTGTTCGACTGCCGGCCAGCCCTGCAGACACCTGGAATAGAAAATTATTTACTGCAGCCTTACAAAATCGAGGCCTCACTGTTACTTTGTTGAAATTCCATGGCATGGATGGGATTGTTGCTTTTTTTCCCCCTTTTACTAAATCTGCCTACTCTTGAAGATTTTTGTTCCCTCAGGGTGGAGCTGTCATCCGGGTTTACGTCCTGGTATTATGGCAGGCTTCAGCAGCTTGAAAGCAACCGGCATAAATCTCTG